AATACCTTCCGGGGTCCATTGAACTGACGTAGTACGTACAATATCCGATTTCTTAAATTTAGTGAATTAGTCTAATTATAAGGTTTTGTGTTTCAAGATCACTTATAGCAAATGTTCCAATAGCGATCTTTTGCATTCTCGATTATGCTTTGCATTATTAAAGCCTTCACGTGTACGAGATAAAAAAAGGGATAATCTTGAGTTTCGGTCATCGGATAGGAAAGAGTTGTAAAGAATAAAATACAAATAAAAAAGAAATAAAAAGATAACGTAATAAAAATTTTGCAGATTTAATTTACTTTGATTATCGTTATGTCAATCGATTACACATTCATTGCAGTATCGAATTTAGAATAAACTTAAGTTACTATTAATTTAACCATTTATTACAGTATCAATTTGTATCAACTTGGATTACAGTCAGAATTCCATTTCAACCAAAGTAGATTTTAAACCTGCAAACATTTTTAAAATAAATTTATGATAAATAATTGAATAAATGAAGCGATTTGTTCTAGACATCTAAAAACATGCAAGTAATTCTTTACCATTAAACTATATAAAAAGTTATAAAGAACTTGATCGCTCTAAATTTAACCGCACATAAATTTGACTTACATAGTTGAATACACAAACGCTACATGACCAAAACACCAGTACTATGAATTCTCGGAATACCAAAATACACCGTGATGCAAATGATATTGATATATTAATCTGTTCAAATAAATCAGCTTAAGAAGCAATTTTACCCAAATTAATGATTGCAAAACTTTAGCATCTTAATATATAGTAATAATACTTTAGTAAAACTGTTTATTATTATGCGATTTGAACCAGATGAACCTAAAATTGTGAAAAAAAATAACTCTATTGTATAATGAAATAGTCAAATCGATTATAAATTTAACTTAATTAGCCTTACGTATGATGAAAATGTGATTTTTTAATACAAAGCTTCAATACGGATGCTTGTATAACAATATATGGTAATAAACAAAATATTCAACCCACTTTTCTTGAAAATTTCAGCTTAGATAATGAAGATTATAATGATAATGAGGATTATAATGATAATGAAATATTAGATGATAAATATAATAATAGTCTTAAATTTATAAATTTTAGAATTATTGAATGTACTAACATTAATATAATAATAATTTTTATAGAATTTAGTCAAGATCAAGATCGTCAAGTTCAAGATCAAAATGAAGGTAAAACAGAGAATAGTGTAAATGATATACAAAATAAAAAAATCTCATTATCATTTATAATGGACGAAATTAATTTAGATAGTGATTCTGAAAAGGGTATTTATTAAAGAAATTTTTTATTATTATATATTTTTAAGTGCAGTATATATAATTAATAAATTATATTTAAATTTAAAAAAGAGTAATATTTATAATTTAAATAATTATGATGATATTAATATCGAAGATAATTTATGTAATGGTAATATTAATAATTTTATTTATTTAATTTTTAATTTAAAATTTTATATAATAATTTTAATGTTTTATATATAGAATTCAATGAATCTGCTTCAAGTAATAATAATAACAAGCATACTTTGGAGTCAAGTGATATGAATAGCAATAATTCATCAAAGCGTCAATGTTTATTACAAAATATTAAAGGTAAAAATTATAATAAAACCTCAGCAAAAGATATTTATTTTAATGCAAAATTAAAAAGCTTTCAGGTTGAACAAGAACGAATTGAGGTTGAAAAAGAAATTGCACAAATAAAAAATATGAAACTGAACAAAAATTAATTATCGGAGAAAAAAAACTTCAATGGGAAAAAGAAAGGTTGAAAAAGATAATACAAAAGATAGAAAACAACAACAAAATTGTCTTATTATAGAACTTATACATCAAAACAAATCTTTTTCAGAAATTAAAGAAATGTTAGATTTCTTTAATAATTTGTAATTATTATATTTAATATAAATAAATTATTTGCATTATTGCTATATATCATAATTTTAACTTGAAATTTATTATAATAATAACTATATTAAGTATAATTTTTAATTTATAATACATATTATTAAAGTTGAATAAATGTGTATTTAATACTACATATTTAAATAATTATTTCTTTGAAGAACTAAATTTTGAATATATTTTCGCATCTTTTTTCCTAATTTATTATCACTATCTAAATCATTTGAAATTGTTAAACTTGAATCAATTCGTATTTCATTTAAACTTTCATTCCATACATCCATATTTTTTAATGATATATTATAAAGGATAATTGTAGCCTTTATAATACGTATCTAAAACAAATTTCAAATTTTTTTCAGATGAAATTTGAGTTCTTATTCCATTTAAACAACCAAATCTTCCTTTCACAAATTCCATTAACATGTTCAATTCTAACTCGTTCTTTAGCAAGTAATTCATTAAAAACTGCATTTTCAGGAATATTTGCATAGGGTTGTCTGTAAGGAATAATTGTCGTTGAAGTAAGTTGATAACCACAATCAGCTAATAAATATTCTCCTTCTTTAAAAAAATTTTGAGTATTTTGAAAAAGTGGAGTTGATTTATAAGCAGTTGAATCTGTAACCGATCCTGGCCATCCAAAGTTAGCAAACCGAATATATTTTAAATCATCACAGATTAATTGTACAGTTAAAGCATATTTTTTTTTTCAACTATAATAAGTTTCTCCATCTTTACTTGGTTTATATTCAAGTATAACATCTGTCCCATCCAAGAACCCAATACAACCTTTAAATCCTGATGATATTTCCATTCTTTCACTAATTTGTTGTCTTTCAATAAAATTTGGCCACTGAACATAATCATTTCCAATTGAATTTATAGCTGTAATTACACGTTTTGTATATTCGACCACAGTACCAATTCCTAAACCCCATTGTCTAGCGAATCTTCCAATAGAAGCACTATTTTCATTACAACCTAATCTTTCTAAGGTAACTGCAAGTTGTTGCCAAACTGGTCTTTGCAAATGTTCAGACTTGTTTAAAAAAACCGGATTGTCATGTATAAGATTTTCTAAATGCATAAATGTTTCTTTGCTAACTCTTGTTATTTGTTTAAAGTTATAATCATTATATTTAAAAAGCATTTGAAAAAAACCATTAGACTTAATAGTTTTTTCACGTAAAGTAAGATATCGATCCAATTCGATAGTTTGCAATAGTTCAAATAATTCGTTAAGTTCTTTTTCAAGATTTTTGGCTGAATTTTCATGTGCATTATTAAAATATTCTTTTATAAGCATTTCTATAATATTATTTATGTCCTTAATTTGCTGTTGACGGTTTG